CGAGTTGGATCAGGACCTCCCCATCCGAGATGTCCTTCCAGATGTAGTCAAAGACCCCAAACAGCGGCCTGCGAAACTGCAGCGTGTGCACCTCTTGTCCCAGCAACACTTGCAGTCCTTTTCGGGGCACTTTGTCTTGTCTCAGCAGCCAAAAACTCAGCGACAGGCATCTAGCGCTCTCTTCATCGCTCCTTGGAGGGTTCCTCGCCACAGCTCCCAGCTTTTCAGCCCTCCGTGCTCTCTGCAAGCTCTTTTCCTTGGAGTAAGGCACTCCCCCATGAGCATAAGCTTGCCTCAACGCATCCTGCCCCTCTGAGCTCTTTGCTTCCAGGTCCTCTGCCACACGAGCCTCCATGATCTCGTAAAGGCTGGTGTCATCCAAATAATACAAGGACCATAACTTCTCTTCCTCCTCCAGGTTCGGAAAAACGCTATCTCCCCGTATCTCACCCTTTCCCAGGAGACCTCCTCCGCCTTGCAAAGGTGATCGAAGAGCCAATCTCCGGTGGGAATGTTGCAGCACTCCTACTGCCTAAGCCCACCCCATCGGGAGCACTGCTGCACCTATATAGGTGTCTCCCTCTCGCTCTACACCTAGGCTGCGCCAGCTCACTTTCTCTGCAAACGTCATCATCTCAGGCCATCCTGGTGGGAGAGCAAACAAGTAGAAAGCCGACACTAGATCATCCGCACTCAACCACACTATACCTTGCCGGCTGGGAGAACCACATGTTGCAGCGCCGGGGCCCCCGTCAAGCTTCTGACATCTCCTTCGAGTACTCGGGTCGCTGCATTCGTTCCTCGAAAGTCCATGATCAATCTCAGGATTGGACGTTCATCATCAAGGTACTTTCCGGGCTTTGCAACTCCAAAGCTGCCGTTTACGAGGAACCTACCTCTGACCAACACTGGCGCTCGACAGTCTTCACCGGGCCCCGTTTGTACATCTCCCCTGCGATCTTCTCCCATTCTTCCCGGCAGGCATGAATCTGGGGCCTTGGTATCTCCAGAGACATCTCCTCCTCCGGCAATAAGTTGCTCAGGGGATTCAGCAGCTTCTCCTTCAGGTGGTAAGCCTGGTAGAACCAGATCCAAAGTCAATCGCTGCCCTTTCTCCACTATCTCACCTTGGTATGAAATCCTGACATCACCAACTTCTCGCCCCCACTCTCCCATCTCTGGGGAACAGGGCACCTTCGACTTAGTCTCACAGCTATCATCAACGGAAGCCTTCAAAATCTCCCATATTCGATCCAAAGCCCTTGCTTGACTGACACTAGTGGTTCCCTGGTAAACCTTGGCCTGTTTTCCCCCTCCTGTCCACAGAAAATTCAGTAGAACCACAGTCAAGCAATGCCAGATGAGCAGACCTGCTCGCCGTGCATGTCGAAAGGCCTTCTTGTCTGCGCCTCCAAACTTCCGAAAGTCCCCAGACTCGAAGAGGCTTCTGAGTTGTTCCTTCCCATCGGTCCAAAGCGGCAGCGGAAGAACCTCCCGTTGTCTTCCCCTATTGCCGTCGTCAGACCCCGGCTTGATGGACCGTTTGAGATACTCGCCCAAGTTCGTGCCACTTCGCATGCACACCAACGCCAAAAGTCCTCCTGTTTGTGAAATGCTCAAACCTCCACGTTCTTCATCCTTTAGACATCGCTGCAATATTGCCAAACTCTCTTCAACTCCAGCTCCAAGCTCTACACTTTTCAAGCTCTCCCTGTCTCCTTCACTCTCATCGGGGTTGGACTCCGCTGGAAAGGCTTTCGGGGTGACCAGGCATCTATAAAGCTCACAATGCCTTCCAAAGCACGCTTCTTGGAGTACTCCATGTCATGCATCATCAACGCATTGACCAACCTCC